GAATCACAACTATATATTTTTTTATTATTTTCTCTACACTTTAATTTTTTTTAATCATTTTACGATAAATTTTTTAGAAAACTATACAAGTTTTTATTTTTTGTTAGTCTAATTTTTTAATTTTTCATCAATTTATAATAAAATTTTTTGTATAATTTTTTTTCTCATCTATTTCCCAATTCATATATATTTACATATATAACACTTAAATTTTATTTTTTATATTTATGTCACTTAAATATTTCATATCACATAAAAATATCACTATTATATTTTTAAAGTGAGATGTGCATATTTATACATAGATAAAATAGTTTGTGTGTAAAAATTGAGGTTTAGATATCATACATATCAATACATAAAATGAAGTGGCATCCATGTTAAATAAACCAAAATCTGAATTAGATTAGTCATATTTAGGGGTGTCAAAAATTGGTCATGAGAAAATTCAGGAGACGAATCTTGTGAGCTGCTCCATGAATATAGCACCAAGCAGGGAGACAAAGAACGAGGGCTTCTTTTTTACATCGTGAACAATAAATGGTATATTGAATAGAGAAAAAGCTATTACAGGAATATGTATATATGTAAATAAAGCTAGAAGAAGAATTCTAGAAGGTAAAGGTGATCCTAATACCCTTAGTGGATGTCACGAAGAGATAAAGGAGAAATTTCTTTTTGCTACCTAGTAGAGTATGTTTGTTATGCCTCCTCAAGTTGACTATTAGGTGGACGAATGGTAAGCTTGATCCGAAGGTTGTTGAAGGTAGATGTCGTATCACTCTTCATGAAGATGACAACCCTTTGATTCGAAGAGCTATGTGCACAACTTGAATGACACCTAAGGTGACGTGGTCATGGATAAAGTGATAGTTAATCTCAATGTGTTTTGGTGTGGGTGTAGAAGATTGGATTGAGGGCGATCGTGATTGATGAGGTGTTGTCACATAATATTGTGGTGGGGTTTGTTGTAGGTGTGTGGAACTCTTTAAGAAGTCGATGAATCCATAGGACTTCGGTGGAAACTGCAGTTTGAGAGTGGTACTCTACTTCAATGGATGAGTGGGCCACTGTCTTTTGCTTTTAAAATATTCAAGAGATGAGTGTACTGCTATGAAAGGTGTAAAAATTGGTGGTGGATCATATGTCATGTGATTCACCAACCCAATAGGAGTCATAATAAGTAATGAGTTGTAAGTTTCCTTTGGTGGTGGGGAGACCAAAGTTAATAGTTCCTTTGAGATACCGGAGAAGGCACATGATCAATTGAAAGTGGTAAATGAGTGGGCGGTGCATCTATTGACATATGTGATTGACAACGAAGGCTATTTCAGGGCCGATTATGGTGATGAATTGGAGAGAGTCGGCTAAGCGATATTAGGTGATATCGAGGTATTCTTGGAGGGAGTCTTGGTCGATTGTAATCCCAATGGGAAAGTGGGGTATGGATTGGTTTGTAGGGTTTAGTTGGATAGTAATCCCAATGAAAGTTATAACAGGACCTAGTTCCTTGATTTGAAACTCAGAATCGAGGGGGTAGAAGAGGCTAGTGATGGCACGGGGGTTAGTTACCTATGATAAGAATGTTATCCACATTGACTAGGAAGTAGGTAGTGGTTTGGTTGCGATCGTAGATGAGGTTTTGAGTTGAAATCTTTTAGTATTCAGGTAAGTAATAAGAGTTGCGTACCATTTGTGGGGAGCTTGTTTAAGACCGCGGTATGTCTTTTTAATGTGGCACAAATTGTTGAGAATTTGAGTATCTTGAAAGCCTTGAGGTTTGGTGCATGTATGTGCTTGACACATCGAGTAGTTGAATTCGTCATTGGTAGTGAGTTGCGGCTGATAAAAGTGTCCAAACTGTAGGCATTTTGGTGACGGGCTGAAGGTTTCACTACATTGGGTGCCAAGTTGTTGTTTTAAACCTTTTACAACCTTGCTTTGAATTTTGGGAGTTGTTCCATCTTAAGTTTGTTTTTGGCACGATATGTCCATTTGCAAATGATAATGTTGGCAGGAGGGAATGGGTTGATAAGAACCGAAGTTCCTTGACGTTGAAGTGGCTCAAATTCAGTGGGCATAGCCTTGGGCCAGTGAAGATGTTTGATGTCCTGAGCATAGGTTATGGGATCGGATGTGGACGAGGTGGTTATTAGTAAGTTTAGAAATTGTTTGAGTTTAAGTGATTCAGTTTGAAGGCAAGTTTTATTGGGGTGGGCGGATGTCATATAGGGTGGAATGTGTGGTAGGACTGATGTGGAGGTTGTTAATTGATTTGTTTGGGAGAGAGTGGTGGTATGTAGTGGAGGATTTGGGGAAGACATAGCTGCTTAATTAGGCGACTAAGATGTTGGTATAAGGAGGTTTGGTGTGGTGTGAGATATGGAGGTGTAAGTTGAGGTCGGTGAGGTATGATGAGAAATGCGAGTTCGTTGAAGATCACATGGCATGATATCATGATTTGTTGTGCTTGAGGGTTGCAACAGAAGTATCCTTTGTGATGGGTTGGATAGCTAATAAAAATGCAGAGAAGGGGGGTGGGGAAGGACTGTGTGTGTGTGAGGCAAGTTTATGCAAGGCTCGAGGCTTTTGCCATGAAAAATTAAGGCATCCAAAAGTGAGAAGATGGGTATATGTCGGTGGTTTTTGGAGGAGTTCGTAGGGCAATTTGAGTTTTGTGGTCTTGGACGACATGCTTTCTAGAATGTGTAGAGTAGGTGGGAGGTGAGGAGGAGAATTCTAGTTGTTTTGATTAGGTGGTGATGCTGGTATTCGGCTATCCTATTTTTTTGGGGTGTGTAAGGCAACTAAATTAATGAATTATACCAAATGAGGTGAGATAGAGTGCAAGGTATGAGATGTATATTCACCACCACCATCAGACCGAAGTACTATGATATTTGTCTTAGGTTATGTTTGAAACATTTTATGGAATTTCATAATTTTAGTAGCTATCTCAGATTTTGCAAACACAAGGAATGTCCAAGTGAACCCAGAGAAATCATCAACAAAGAGAAGGTGATATTTATATCCTTGTATTGAAAGGGTTGGCTAGGGGAGAATATGGTCAAAACAATATTTAGACTCAAAAACTAAAATATAAAATGACTGTTGGAAGAGTTACATTCATTACATAAAAAAGAGGAAAGGCAGTTGTGGTAGCATGATGAGGGTGCCCAAGCCTTCAATGTCAAAATTGGACGGATCTAGGTGTTGAGTGGATGACGACCAAAGCAGATATAGGGTAGAGATCGTTTCTACTAAGGTCTCAAAGGAGGATTTGGTTTGCTCTTTGGTACTTGATAACAAAACCAAATTTGGTAAAAAATATGTCGCAATTATTGTCAGAAACTAAATTGTGAATGGAAAGGAGATTGTGTGATAGGAAAGGAAAGTGAGAAAGTTTGGGGAGGTAAAGCTTACGTTGAGGTGTTGGTAGTATGCCTTGACTAGTGTGGGTAATTGGGAGGTTGGAGCCGTTGCCATTAATTGTTGAATCTGGCCCTATGTATGGTTTGGCATGTTCTAGATGATCGTAGTTGGAGGTGAGTGGTAGTACCAGAGTCAAGGAACCAATCATGTTAGCTGGGTTCGGTCGAGGCCATTAGAGTTGTTTCAAATTTTTTTGAGGGGTAGGAGCTGAAATTCAACATTGTGGTGCGGCGTGCTAGATTTTGCCACAGATTTGGCAAGTTAGGCGATCAGAGATAAATCTAGCACTTTGACCTCCCATATTTGGAAACAATGTGATGTGGTGTCGCTAGCATTGAAGAGGCATTGGTTGCAACCCCTGGTATCAATGTAGCTTTCTCGAGTAATAAACAAAGCATGATGGTAGTGGTGGTTTCTTTGGTGTGTTCGAATGAAATGTTGATTAATTCCCTGTAGAGTAGGGAATGCAAGTCATCCAACTTGATTGGTTCTGATCTTGTATGAATGACTGTTTTAAATGATAGAAAGGGGGAGCATAGGCTATTAAGGATAGGGAGGATGATGTGCCCTTGTGGTCAATATGACCTCCGATAGTTGCTATGTTGTCGACAAGAGATTTAATGGACAAAAGATATTGGGAAGTAGTTTGGTTTTTCATAGAATGTGGTGAAGCTCACTTCGTAGTTGGATGACACTGGATCGATTTGTGGACTGCAACCTATTTTGAAGAGTTTGTCATATTTCCTTGGTGGATTTGAGATTGAGAATATAGTGCAAAAATGATGGGGGATGTGGTGGAGCAGATGACGGTTGAGAGGTTATGATCGATGAGTTGCTAGCATAGGAAGTAGTGGTTGGAGGTGTGTTGGGCGGTTGGTCTGCCGGTTTGAGATGGAGGATATATTGCGGTGCCGTCGAGGAAGCTCTCAAAACCATTCACTTTGAAGAGCTTGTAGAAATGGGGTTTTCAGGTTGAGTTATTTTCAGTGACAAATTGAACATGAAAGTAGCTGTGGATTTGATGTTGGACATGAGAAACTTAAAGGGAGGAGGGGATAGAAATAAAGCTTGAAAGAGTGAATACTCTTAATGGATGGCGGGGAGAGTGAAAAGAATTTTTTTTTTTTTGTAACCTAGTAGAGTAGGTTGATAGGCCCGACGCACCAACTCGACTTGAACAATTTCTTAGTCAGACTCAGTTTAGAAATTGTAGCCTGTTTAATTTTTTCACATGGGCTTGAGTTGATCTGCAAATTAGAAATTGATCTAAATACAACCTGTTAACCGAAAATTAGCTCAAATTGACCTGTCACCACAAAATTGAGCTTAATTTGACCCACAATCAACTCTAATAGTTATCTTGTTAATCAGCATTGGGCAGGAAGGCTGTAGGCGGGCCGGATTCAGGTTGGAGTTTTGACCACATTTAATAGTGGGATTTGAATTCTGGTCAAACAGTTCAGATTGGATCGATTGGAACCCAACCCGGAGACCAATTTTGCCGCCCGTGCTCAAATTCAACGTCAAATCGGTGGAAGAAAATTCTAGAGGGCAACGCAAGCGTGTACTGCGTAGCCTTCGTTTCTTAAAATGTTTGGATTCGTCGATCAGTACGAGGCCGGCGATCACGGGTTTCTCCCTTTTTTTCAAATTCTTATTACGCGTGGCCCTCTCGATCCGATCGGCGTCCGCGTCGGTGCTCTTGAGCGCTGCGCGCGATGTATCGAGAAGATTCGGTGGGAATGTTTCCAAGGGCGGAGGTCGGATGTGATTGTTTTCGGGGGAGAAGAGGGGAGGCAAGAAAAGATAGCAAGGGCCGGAGGTTATGGGAGAAGGTCAAATACCAGCTCGTCGAATACCATTCCCTCCCCAGCTATCTCAAGGATAATGAATACATCATTGGTTATTACCGCTCCGAATGGCCTCTCAAGCAGACTTTTTTCAGTATATTCACCATCCACAACGAGACCCTAAACGTCTGGACGTATGATTGCTTTCACGCAAATCCGAAAATATTTTACCTTTCTGCTTTCTCTTTATGCTTTGATTATCTTATGTGGCTTCATTTTTATACTTTTAATTTTTAAATGGCCTTTCGTTTCTTAATTCGCATTAGTTGTTAATGCTTACAGTCAAGATGTTGGCGACTTTGTTGGTTTTGACAATCTTCGTTTATGCTTGAAGTTGGATGTTGGACTTAACAAAATTCTTACACACATGACAATGGAATGCGAGATGGATTCTTAGAACTGCGCTGCATAGTAATTATATTTGATGCTTTCGTTTTGAAAGAATGTGAAAAAGGGACCGAACAAAACCTAGGGTTTGGATAGCGGTGGAATTGTTAAGGATGTACTTATTAACTAGTTAGTTTTTATTTTTTTAAAGAGGGCAAATGTGAAAGTAATTATGACTGCATGTGAAATTTGGCTCATATAACCGTTTGCCTACAAGTCTACAAGTAAATCTTGAGATTATGAGATCCCACAAGTTTCTTTGGCGTGGCATTTATTAAATTTCGGTTAACTTTGATGGTTTTGATTTGCTATATCAAATTTAGAATTTAAATGGATATGAGATATAAATTTTCTAAATTCAGAATGCAAAAAACTTTTAATACATTAACTCCTGCTCTCTTCCATATAACAAGTCCAACTAAACACTAAAAACAATCCAAATTTAACCAGCTGTTTAATTCTTACTTGAAACTGCATACTAAATAACACTTTAAGATGACTTTATTGGATCTTTTATTTTCCCAAGCATACCTAGCATATCAAATGACTTTATCCTCATTGATTAATTTTTTTCAACCCATTATCATAATTTTTATTTGTTTGCGAAATGTGCGACACAGACACCTCCTTGATGACTTACAAGTATGAGCAAAACTTTTGCAGTCTTTGATTCCAGGATTTAATTCAAACCACAAATCGAAGACAATATTATTACTCATAACAAGTTGGATTGTAAACAATAATCAAAATAAATTAGAAAAGAACGCAATAACAACAATATCCGGCTAGGGCCGGGTAGGAAGATCCAAGGACAACAGTGTTTTTGACACTGTGGTGAGGGGTTGAAGTGGAAGGGGGTAAGGAATATGTGGTTGGAAGTAGACGACTGTAAAGTGCCCGGTGGTTAGGAGTAGGGAGGAGGGAAAGCAGGAGATTGGCAGTGAGATCTCGAGTGTTAGGAGAGATCGGTCGATGGCTAAGGTTAAAGAGAAGTGGAAGTTGGTTGCTGGCGGCAAGATCTCGAGGGGTAGGAGATGGTTGTCGATGGCTAGGAAGCAGGGGAGAGGTGAGGTGGATGACTGGCAGTTGGATCAGGAGGGTTAGGAGAGGGTGTTGACGACTATGAAGCAAGGAGAAATAGGAGGGTGCAAGCAGGCGGCTAGAAGTACGGAGGATGGAAACATAGAGGAGGGATTGAGGGGATAATCACTACCTGAGAGCATGATGTAGCCATAATACCTCCTATTCATAGATACAACTAGCAAGGGAATACGCCTATAGGCAAAAATCTGAAACAAACCAAGCATATAAGGGTGAGTTTCCCATTCTTTGTCCATCTACAATATAAGTGCACAATATAGAGAACCACAATTCGACGCCTCCGGTGACTCATGTTTCTCAATTTTGTTTGATTCTATCAGACGCAGACGGAGTATGGTGCCTAATATTATTGAGTTGAAGTATTCTCTAGACTACACTCAAGTCGTATGCATATTCTTGAGGATGAACTTTCTATGGTTTGGTTCAATGTAGAGGAAGAGAAGAAGAAACTTGTTTTTTTTTTAATTACGGAAGAGATGAGTTCCTTCATAGTTCCCAATAAATTCACGTCAATTCATCATAAATTTTAAGACTTAAAAGGTTGAGACTATGACGACTCGCTAGTTCATGGAATAAATTGATTAAAGTTAGCTTTTTGTCTCGGGGTGAGTTTATTTACAACAACAGGTTAGGAAAGGGATTATTTCATTTATTGTACTATTTGATATAGTTTATATTTTTTTTCCTTGATAGCGAGTAGAAACAAAGTAGCCCTTGTTTGATTGTATGCAAGAAACTTTATGATGTTTGTTTTGTCACATGTGGTTATTTTTATGAATTTTTAATTTTCATTACTCATCTATTTATTTTGATTTATTGTTTTCACTATTCTCATTGTAGACTTGTTTTATTGTAATGATGGAAATTTTTTTTTTTGAAACTTCAACATTAATGTTAGATATGAAGTTGGACTCCAAAATCCCTTCCTTTTTTAATAAATATTTCTTCCACTTTTCATCGTGCGTTTATGTTTCATGTGCTCTTCACTCGCACTCTCATGAGTTCTTTTGTTGCTCAACGCATCTCTTTTTAGATTATCGTGGTTTCTGTTGGCCGTTATTTTTGAAAAATGATTTAAATTTAATTTAATATAAATATATGTAATGTGATTTGGGAAATAATATTTTAATTTTGGAAAATATGAGACCAAACAGATCTCATATATTTTATAGTTTAGATAATCAAACATCCCCCTTCAAGCGACACGTTCATCCCAAAAGATAAACATATTACCTGACGAAGGGGGCTCGATTATATAAACTACGAAATTTATGACTTCATTTGGTATGCGAAACCTTCGTGTATGTCCAATAAATTACTCTACCTAATATAAGAAATTAGATAGAGTTTATATTACCTGTGTTCTAAAGTTTTCTATAGAGACAAACCCCTATAATTAATTACATCTTAAATGACTTAAGTCACTTAAAAAAACTCTTGATTAAAATTAGTGATTCTGTCTTCAAGATTTCAAAGTTCAGGTGTTTAAAGTTGGACATGGGAACAAACAAAAGGGAGTGACTCAAAATAAGAACAATTATTTTCAAAAGTCAAATGAATGAAATATAGGGGATGTCACGGACCCGAGGAAATCCCCGGTGACTTCCCAACTATCCTATTGTTTGGCTTTATTTTTGGAGTTATGTTTATTTAAAGTTTAATCATGCTTATTTTATTATTTAAGACTTACACTTGTTGGACACCCAATTGTGCAAATAGCCTAAGAAAATAGAAGGATTTATGGTACACCAAAATAATATACTATTTTAAGTACATATTTTATGTTTATTTTTGGTGATATTGTAATTTAAATGAGAGTATTTTTATGTTTTTCTTGTAGGTATATCATTTTTTAGGTATTTAGAACAAAAATGACAAAAAGGATGACCAAAACAACAAATTTTAGAATTCTCAGCAAATTCTTTAGAATATATTATGTTTCATTTAATGCTTTAAAGCCTGTATGTTTTTAATGTTAGTACCTGCAGTATACCAAAACCCAGTTACATAATCAGAAATCTTCTACAGGTCAATTTTTATTTTCATGCATTTACTATTTTCTTTCACCTATTAAATTTTGTACTAAAACATTTTTAAATAACTTTAAAACTTTAGTTTGGGGGGGAAGAAATTTTTTTTTGAAAATAAATAAATTAAATTTTATTTGTCCTTAATTAACTATATTTTTAAAATTAATTTAACATGACGTGGGGATATTAAGATTTAACTTTAAATGACTATACTTATGTTTATAAATATTATGGTAAATTTAAGTAAAAAGTTTTTAATAATGAATGTCAATTCTAAAGTTAAATATATTTGATATGATGGGATAAAACTATGCTTTTCTATTTAAAGTAAAGGAAGTTGTAATTTTGAAGTATTAATAATTTTAGAGTTTCATGTAAAAAAAAGAATGAGACTTTATGAAAAATCATAAATTAATATAAATTTATAAATTGAAGAAAGGTATGGAGTTTTGACTTTAAGAACAAGATATTGAAGTTAAAAACTATTAAAGACTATCTGGATATAATAATCCTCACTTGAAATTAAAAAGAAAAGAAAAAGAAAAGAAAGAATTGAAAAGATCTTAAAAGAAAATAAAAGAATAGAAAAATAAGTGAAGAGAAGCTTGAGGAGACACCTAATAAAAAATTGTCTTCACTTGAATCAACTTAAGGAATGAGCTTTATTACATTTCTAAACTTGTATTGGAGTATTAACATCATTCCTACTTAAGTCTTCATGAAGTTTTTTTTCATATGAATATTTTAAATGTTCTTAATATGACAAATTGCAATTTTTCTTGAAATGAATAGAAATTCAGGAATCTTAAATTTGATTACTAAGTATTCCTAGACTTAGAATTTGAATCTAAGTTATTAAAAATTTTTCTTAAATTTTACTATTCTATTAATTAAACTAAAATATAAAAGTTGTAAGTAAATCTTTATCCTATGTCATAAGCTTTTATTAATAAAAGTGTCACTTAAGGACAAGTAATATTTAAAATTGGGAGATTTTGATACATCAAAATAATATAATGTTTTAAGTACATATTTTTTATTTATTTTTGGTGATATCACACTTTAAAAGAGGGTATTTTCATGTTTTTGTTACATGTATATTATTTTTGGGTATTTGGAGCAAAAATGACAAAAAAGACAAAATTTGGAGCAAAAATAACGAATTTTAGAATTCTGGCTCATGACGCGTCATTTGACAGAGGCATGTCGCATGATGCGTCGTTTGACAGAGGCTTGGCGCATGATGCGCCAGAGACGACTTTTTGCGAATTAAGGTGGTTCGAGACGAATTTTGTGCGAATTTTTAAAGGGACACTTGTTTTTAACACACCTATTGAAGTAATTCAATGCATCTAGACACTTTGAAATGTTCTTTTATAAAAGGATATATCTCTTGGATAAAATAACCCATTTTTTGAATTCAAAAGAGTTGATTTTTGGAGGGAATTTTGGAGGGAATTTTGAATTTCTTTTGAAAAGAGGCAGCCCAAAATAAAAGAGGAAGATTTCAAGGAGTTTAAGGGGGGACGGAAAGGACAAGAAAGTGGGGGTGGCGTGAAATGCGAGAGAACAAGAAGAGATTTTCTTCTAGGGTTGTAAGAAGAGAGAGAAGGTGA